TCAGCAAATTATTCAGCCCTTTGGGCAATACTGAGATCTACTCCATTTGCAGCTGACAGCCCCTTTGCTCTTCTGAAGAAGCAGGCTCTGAGTATGTAAATAATTGCTGCTGTTTGCAAGAAGCAGTTGTAGCAATGGGAGTTGTTAAATTTGAAAGAGTTCCAGTGTAAACATCTTCTCCTAATATTCCATTAATATTAACCGTGCTCGTTTGTTACAGTTATATCCAGTCTTCCCTTCAGAAGTTCAAGATAATATCTTTTTCCTCTGTGCTCCTTCCTCCTATCTTTTCCCACAAAATCAGCCCTGTGAAGTAGGCAGGGCTGAGAGGCAGTCTGTAAGCCTAAAAAATGAGCTTCATGATTGAGAGGAGACTCTTCTCTGGGCTTTCCTGAACTTAACCCTACATCACAAACAGTAACACTGAGACTAACCAGGGGAAAACACTACAGGTAGTCCTTGACTTAGGACCACAATTGAGCCCAAAATTTATATTGCTAAGTGAGACATTTGTTAAATGAGTTTTGCCTCATTTTACGATTTTTCTTGCACAGTTAAATGAATCACTGCAGTTGTTAAGATAGTAACGTGGCTATTAAGTGAAGCTGGCTTCCCCATTGACTTTGCTTGTCAGGTCACAAAAGGGAGTCACGTGACCCCGGGACACTGCAAGCATCACGAGTCAGTTGCCAAGCATCTGAATTTTGATCCCATGACCCCAGGGATGCTGCAGTGGTCCTACGCATGAAAAACGGTCCTAACTCACTTTTTTCAGTGCCGCTGTAACTTTGAACGGTCATTAAATGAACTGTTTTAAGTTGAGGACTACCTGTACCTTTTTCAATTCTGGAAAAACATATTCTTAGCCAAGTCTGTGTCTGACATACAGGAAAATGCAGAACTATTTGGGCTTATTTGATTCCCTCAACCAACACGACATTTATTTCTTATTTAGCATGTCAGTCTGGCCCCTTGACCTACGAATCTTTATTGGAAGAAGCAGAATGTGATCCTCAAAGCTGCTTCCTCTCCCAAAGAACCTTTCCAGGCAACCTCTGTAGCAGGTGGCTGGCACACCCCAACACCATTTCATTCTATTTAGACAAACAAGTGGAGGGAACTGAGTTGGGTTCAAAAAAAGATTTTACTTGTTAAGAAAAAGAATATAAAACTATAGCATAATTATAAATAATCATATAAATTACACCACATGGAAACATACACCAAAAATGATGATTCCCTTTCTAAAAGAATTTCCCATTTAAAGTGATGATATTCAGGCAGGTTATCAGTGATTACCACAGCAAAGGACGACAAATGTTACAGGAGAAAATCAGTGCAATGGTGTTCTTTGCATCCCAAATCACTGCTGATTCAGAGAGAGAAAAAAGGATTCACTGAAAAGGATTCCTTTGTGGAAAAGAGAAGCAGTTTCTGTCATTCCCTTCAATAACTTGAAAGAGCCCATTCCTTGCACTCGGAAAGTATTTCATGCTTGGAATTAAAGCAGTGCATTTTTTGAGTCTAGCCCAGGCAGCGGCACTTCCATTCCTGACCTCTCCAGACAAGACAAGCTCCTGACTTCCTCATTCCAAGAGACCAGCAAGTCTTACATTTTTCTAGGGGGGGGGAGGGTGCCAGTAGGAAAAGTGGACTGCTCTTTATAGTATCATCTCCTCTGACACCACAAAATTACAGGCTACTCAACTGGAAAGAAGCCCCTAGGTTTCTAAACTGTGTTCTGGAGAACCTTAAGAGACTTTGTGAGAGACTAAAAACAAACAAAAGTTAACTCAAATGCAGCCAATTTTCTTAACTAGCTTTACCTCTTGATCAGAGTTTGTGAAAAAATTTTTTAAATAAACTAACAAGTTCCCTAGCCTCAACAGGTTTGAAAATGCTTGTCCAAAGCAACAGCGCCATCTATTGAATGCATTTTTATAAACCTTACTGGTAGAACTGGGAATAATCTTAGTATTATTTATCAGTGAGCTTGATTGTTGTGTTTAGTAACATTTCCCAAGAGAATTCTTTCATGGATAGTCTCCTGTCCTGATTAGAAATAGTCATGTTCATACAGGAAGCAAAAATTGCAGATCAATCTCTCAACAGGGCAGTTTAAATTCTGGTTGCATTTGTCTGCTGGACTAGTCTTTTTTTGCACCGTTCGGCTCCTAATAACTTCCTAAGTTTTACCTTACTATACAAACTGATAACCTACAGTTTACTGTTTCAGTTTACAGAGTAGGCTCCAGTTCACATACCATGCTAGGTCAGATAAGTCAATACAAGTTCCTCCCAACATGTGAACTCAGCTTCTGCTTTGTAGTGCAAGAGATTAGGACTCCTTATGAAACAAATAATTGTGGCAAATAGCTTAAGAGAACCAAATGGGAAGAATATGTACAAGGTTTCTTTAGAACAGCCCCCCCACCCAACCTATTCACATCATTCAAAAAATCCTCTATATCAAATTTCATACTCAGTGGACAAATCGCCGTAGCTTTAAAAGGTATAAATTTCCATTCAGATAGCACCCTCTCATTATTTAGAGAGCTGTTGTCCAAGATTGAACAATATTGAGCTATCCATGTTAAAATCACGAAGAGAGGATCCTCTCCTAAAAAGAGGCATCTGCCACAAGAAGTTTTCTTGTCTAATGTTCGTATGCTGTATATATTAGAGAAAGGGAAGGCTCTGCATGTGGATATTGCCACAAAATATCAGGCTAGTTTTACCCAAACAACCAAAGTAAGGTCTGCTACCAGCTCTGCTCCTTCCAGAAATGCATGTCCTGTCCTGACACACGCACAAAAGGGGTGGGGCTTTTCTTGTGACCTTACAGGGTTCTTTGTCATTCTGCTCTGCCTTGCAGACCGCGCCGGGCATCACATATAAGATTCTTTTGGGACTGCAGTGCAATCTTCTACGGGGGCCTGTTTGCGGAGATTTCCCCTGACCATTATTCTATTCTGTTCTGTTCTATTGTTCTCAATGCATAGATGGGAGGACTGAGATGTATTTATTAAACCAATTTAAATTTAATAGCACATTTTTATTGCCTCTTTTTAGGCAAGACTCTCCTTTTTCCATATTCAGCATATGAAAATTACTGGTGGCCTGGTTATTGTAAAACAAGACTGTCCATCTCATACATTCATTGATACTTTTTTCCAAAAGCCATATTCAATTTATAATCTATAAATTTTGGTTTCTTAAGCTACAACATCCACTCAGACCCGTACACTTCTACCGTTTTATTTTCAAGCTCTCTCTGAACTCACCGTTACTAACATTTTTGGTTTGGACGCCTATTCAGAAATATGCATCATCTCCGTTATTCCTGCCATCAACTCTGAATTTTATTTGTTATACCAAATAAATATTTGAACCACTGGTTTTTAATTCCAATTATATCATTGTCTGCTAAAGTGTTGGGAAAAGGCTAAGGAGAAATCAGCATATTGTCCCCTCTGTATGAATACCCTCAGGCGGAATTCAGATTGCCATATAACCAAGGTTTTATCAGTTCATAAGTATCTTGTAAGATGCCTAGTTCTACAAGATGTGTCATAACCTTAATGAGAATATTTTCTTAAGCCTAGCAATATGTCATTCATGCTGCTGTTTTAGGGAGTAGGAAGGGCAGAGTAAAAATGTTCCATTTCTCAAAAAACTAGGAACTGATAAGACTATATATATTCTAAACAATCTCTTGATTTATTCTGATTAACAGAAATATTTAAATACTATTTCTTACAACTTAGATATATACAGCTCTGTTCTTGAAATGCAGATTTTGTTAAATCAACGCAGAGCCCTAAACAGAATTTCCACATGATAAGGAAATAGTGGAGATGTGAAAGAAATAGGGATCAATATTCATTCACAAATTTTATCCTAATCTGGATGGCTGGCACTTATTATTTGGGTACCTTAAAGGTCAGTGCTTTCTTTGGCAAATGGTCCCTTTATCATTCATTTATAAAGTTATTGCCATTACCAAACAAACAAGCCTAGAATACAGGTCTAGCATCTCTTTGAGATTAAAACCTATGTTTTATTTGTACTACACATATACCTGCCAAAACAGAAACCTGCATAAGGTTTCAGGTGTCCTTGTTTATTGAGGTAACAACTGAGAGTAAACTAGATAGATGTTTCTTCATTGCTTTTTGCCAATAATGTAATAGTTGCATTCTGAGGTAGTGAACTAGAAAGATAAACGACTTTCTTCGTGCTATTCAGAACTGAGCAGACCCGAGTTTTGAAGATTCTTATGATAAGGGAAAGGAGCAGCACTTGGCTGATGAGATCATCAATTCTAAAGCCCTTTGATAAATATGGAAAGCAGAAAGAGATCTTAAGAGATCCCAGTGTGAATCTGGGCTCAAAGTCAGTGCTGACCCTTGACATAAGTCCGCCTGTGGTATTTTCCTGGTGCTAGCATCTCCAGAGTCAGTTCTGTTATGATTGCTGTAAGACCCCACACACGGTGAGGACCATGCAGGAAGACAGGCATTGTGTAGTGGTAGACACCATCACGGCAGTAGTGGGTGTAGCCCTGGTTCTTTTCTTGTAGCAAGTGGGACAAAGACAGTGTGAAGACAGCCTCAACCTGTAAATCGAACAATAAAGATTGAGTGGAAGCATAACTTGTCCAGTTTAGTTGTGGGATAATTATCTTCTCTTCCATCAAAATCTTTTGGAAGAAATTAGTTCAGATTTTAAATTGTAATATTGGGGGGAAAAAGAGAAGAGAGGATCAGAAACAAACAGAAGTTAAAAAAAGGAGGGGGGGGGAGAGGTTCAGAAAGAGAAACATCTGGTATCAAAAAGGAAAGAAAATGATGCAGCCCATCCATATGGTCCCTCCCAGAGATTGCTTATGCTCCATTCAAGAGATTACTTCCAAGGGAATTAGTGCTTAACACAGGAAGAATTGCCACTAGAACATCACTGAGAATTTTCTTTCATACCCATCTTCCTGGAAAAATATATTGAATAAAAATAGCATGTGATACACTGTCGCTGCGTTTCAGTTAATATTCTGATTCACCTCTTGGGGGTTAGGTTTCAGTGCCAGGTCCTCCAGAGGCCCCAGGTTTGCTAGTACAGGAGCCACCATCATATTAGTCTGGAAAAAAAGGCAGAATTAAACAGATGTGAGTCCTTGGCTACTCCATGCTTGCTCTTGCAAGACATATCCCAAGTGGTATATTCATCCCCT